GGGTCACATGGAAGGAGAGGGGATGAGGAGGGGCGAGGGCTGGGTAGGCTTTGGGTGTTGAGGGGATGAGGGCTGGGTGGGTTCTTGGGGTTGAGGGGATGAGGGCTGGATGGGTTTTGGGGGTTGAGGGATGAGGGCTGGGTGGGTTTTGGGGGTTGAGGGGATGAGGGCTGGACGGGTTTTGGGGGTTGAGGTGATGAGGGGGTCCTTGGAATGTGGGATGAATTTGACTCCAGTGGGGTCAGAGGGGTCAAGGGATGTGTTGGGGAGATAAGCAGGGGCAGCTGATTGGGGAAGGGGTGACCTGAGAAGCAAGTGTGAGCTGGTTAGCATGGGGTGGATTAGCACTGGGGTGTGTAGCTACTCTCAAATGGGAAGAGTTGTATTGTTGTTTGCTTGCTCTGTGGGCAATCTGTTCCTCCTTCGTCATGAATTTGTCAATATATACGTAGTAGTAATTTTCGTTGTGTGTGTGTGTGTGTGTGTGTGTGTGTGTGTGTGTGTGTGTGTGTTTGAGTGTACTCACCTAATTGTGCTTGCGGGGGTTGAACTCTGGCTCTTTGGTCCCGCCTCTCAACCGTCAATCAACAGATGTACAGGTTCATGAGCCTAATGGGCTCTATCATATCTACACTTGAAAGTGTCTACGGAGTCAGCCTCCACCACATCACTTCCTAATGCATTCCAATCACTTCCTAATGAACTGTGTGTGTGTGTGTGTAATTACCTAAGTGTAATTACCTAAGTGTAGTTACAGGATGAGAGCTACGCTCGTGGTGTCCCGTCTTCCCAGCACTCAAAAAACACTACCTGGGTGACGAAGGGGTTTCCTTGAAACTGATTGGCTCGGAACGAGCGTAGAATAGCAGCGAGTTCTCGATTGGCTCAGCCAATGTGTGACGTGTGTGTGTGTGTGTGTGTTTGCTTGTGCGTGTCACGAGGGTCTCCTATGTGCCACACTTCTACCCGGAATGAACCACTTTGAGAGTTAAAATATATATGTGATAAAGTGAACAAGATTTCTCTTATAATTGACCTCACTGTACATCAGTTAATTGACAGAGGCAGACAGTACTCACCGGCCAAAACCGTCCTGCCCACACAACCATGTGAGATTATAATGATGTCCGTATGTCGAGGTCCTCAGTGGATCAGTCGTTTCTCCACGTGGTGTGGAGTCTCACTCTTCCACTGAGTGCCAGTGGATCGGTGCTGGTGGTTGTTTCAGTATGCTGTATCCTTTCGCCTGTTGAGTTATCGTTCACTAATTTACTGTATCACTGTTCTTTATAGCCCAAGTACACCTTGAAACATATATGTATGTGTGTATGTATGTACTCGTCTAATTTAACTCACCTAATTGTGCTTACAGGGGTTGAGCTCTGGCACTTTGGTCCCGCCTCTCAATTGTCAATCAACTGATGTACACATTCCTGAGCCTACTGAGCCCTATCATATTTACATATGGAACTGTCTATGGAGTCTGCTTCCACCACATCACTGCCAAATGCATTCTATCTGTTAACTACTCTGACACTGAAAAAGTTCTTTCTAACGTCCCTGTGGTTCATTGGGTACTCAGTTTCCACCTGTGTCACCTTATTCGCGTGCCATCCGTGTTAAACAGTTTATCTTTATTTAGCCTGTCAGTTCCTCTGAGAATTTTCTAGGTAGTGATCATGTCTCCCCTTACTCTTCTGTCTTCTAGTGTCGTGAGGTGCATTTCTCGCAGCCTTTCTTCGTAACTCATGCCTCTTAGTTCTAGGAGTAGCCATGTGGCATATCTCTGAACTTTTTCAAGCTCCGCCTTGTGCTTGACATGGCACGTGCTCCATGCTGGGGCCGCATACTCCAGGATTTGTCTTGCATATGTGGAATAGAAGGTTCTGAATGATTCCTTACACAGGTTCCTGAAGGCAGTTCTGATGTTAACCAGCCTCGCATATGCCACAGATGTTATTTTTTTGATGTGGGCTTCAGGAGACAGGGTTGGTGTGATATCAACTCCTAGATCCTTCTCTCTGACTGTTTCATGAAGAACTTCATCTCTCATTCTGTATCCTGTGTCTGGCCTCCTATTTCACTGCCTAGTTTCATTACCTTACATTTACTCGGGTTGAACTTTAGTAGCCATTTGTTGGACCATTCATGCAGTGTGTCTAGGTCATCATGTAGTCTCATACTGTCTTCCTTCGTCTTAATCCTCCTCATAATTTTTGCATCATCAGCAAACAATGAGAGGAATGATTCTATACAATCTGGAAGATCATTTACATATATAAGAAACAGTATGGGTCCAAGGACTGAACCCTGCAGGATCCCACTGGTGACGTCTCGCCAATCTGAGACCTCACCCCGCACAGTGACTCGCTGAATTCTGTTACTTAGGTACTCCCTTATCCAATGGAGTACCTTCCCTTTCACTCCTGCCAGTATCTCCAGCTTTAGCACTAGTCTCTGGTGTGGCACTGTGTCAAAGGCTTTCTGGCGCTCCAAAAATATGCAGTCTGCCCACCTCTCTCTTTCTTGTCTGATTCTTGTTGCCTGATCGTAGAATGCAATTAATCCTGTGAGGCATGACTTGCCATCTCTGAAACCATGTGGGAGTTGTGTCACAAAGTTTCTTCGCTCCAGATGTTCCGCTAGCTTTTATCACATAATTTTCTCCATGAGCTTGCATGGTATGCAAGTTAGGGACACTGGCTTGTAGTTCAGTGCCTCCTGTCTATCCCCCTTCTTGTATATCGGGACTACGTTAGCCGCCTTCCAAATTTTTGGCAGTTCACCTGTTACCAGTGATTTGTTATATACCATGGAGAGTGGCAGGCAGAGTGCTTCTGCTCCTTCCTCTAGTATCCATGGCGATATTCCATCCAGGCCTATAACCTTTGCCACATCAAAATCTAGCAAAAACTTCCTTACATCCCCACTGGTAATCTCAAATTCCTCTAGTGGTGCCTGGTTAATTATTCCTTATCTTATCTCTGGAACTTCTCCTTGCTCTAATGTGAAGACTTCCTGGAATTTCGTATGGAGTTCCTCGCACACTTCTTTGTCGTTTGTAGTGAATCTGTCTGCCACTATCCGCTGGTTCATTACCTGTTCCTTCACTGTTGTCTTTCTCCTGATGTGGCTGTGCAGCAATTTGGGTTGGGTCTTAGCCTTGCTTGCCATGTCATTTTCATATTGCCCTTCTGCCTCTCTTCTCACACTGACGTATTCATTCCTGGCTCTCTGGTAACCTTCTCTGCTCTCAAGTGTTCTGTTATTTTTATAGTTTCTCCATGCTATTATACTTTGTTGCTTAGCTAGCTTACATCTCTGATTAAACCATGGGTTTTTCATCTGCATTCCATTTTTTACTTTTTGGACTATGATAAACTTTTCTGGTGCCTCCTTGTACTTCTGCATGATGTATGACATCATGTCTTGGGCCGTCTTTCTCCTTAGTTCTGATTTCCATGTTATATCCGTTAGGAATTTTCTGATCTCGTAATTTCCCTTAGGGAATGCTAGCCTTTTGCTTTCAAGTTCCTTTTTTCAAGTACTTTAGCCCTTCTTCAACCAGATGATCAAACGTCAGTACACTGTGATCACTCATTCCTACTGGGGCCTCGAAGTCAATTTCCCTTATGTCGGAGTCATTCAGAGTGAAGACTAGGTCGAGTCTCGCTGGTTCATTGTTTCCCCCTCATCCTAGTGGATTCCCTGACATGTTGGCTTGGAAAGTTTCTTGTTACCACCTCCACTAGTTTGGCTCTCCATGTATCCTCACCTCTGTGTGGTTTCTTGTTCTCCCAGTCTATCCTTCCATGATTGAAGTCCCTCATGATGAGCAGATGGGATCGATTTCTACAGGCAGCAGAGTCTACCCTCTCATTTATGTTATTAACTGCCATGTTGTTTCTGTCATACTCTTCGCTGGGTCTTCTGTCATTTGGTGGAGGGTTATATGTCACTGCTACTACTACTCCAGGTCCTCCCATCGTTATGGTGCCTGTTATGTAGTAGCTAAACCCTTCACAGTCTGGGATAACTATCTCCTTGAAACTCCATTCCTTTTTCATGAGTAGGGCCACTCTGCCTCCTCATCTACCCTCCCTCTCTTTCCTTATTACAGTGTAATCCTGGGGGAACACAGCATTCGTTATGATTCCTGAGAGTTTTGTTTCCGTGATTCCAATTACATCTAGGTTTACTTATTGTGCTCTTTCCCTAAGTTCACTCGCCTTGCTTGTAATCCAACCAATGTTCATGTACATCACCTTGACGCTGACTCTTTTCTGTTCATCCTCAGTTTCTGTTGATTCCACTGGAGTAGGTAAATATGGAGGGTCTGGGATGGGGAGGGGAAACAGGGGGGGGGGCCTGGGTCGTGAGGGGAGCTGAGAGTGAGGGGACCTGGGTTATGGGGGGCTGGGAGGATCCGGTTTAGAGAGGGTCGGGGCAAAGTGAGGGCTTGGAGGGGTGGGGAGATGAGGAGAAGAGAGGGGTTTGGGAGGGAAGGCTTGTGGGGGGGGGAAGAAAGGAGGGCATGGGGGAGAGGGGGAGGAAAGAGGGGTTTGTGGGGGCAGGAGAGGAGAGAGGGCTTGGGGAGGAGAAGGGAGGGCTTAGGGAGGGAGGAGGGAGGAGATAGAGGGTGGGGGAGAAGGGATGACTTAGGGTGGTGGAGGAGTGTAGGGGCTGGGGCAGGTAGGGCTTCTATTGGGTGGGAGGAATACCTTTTTGGACTTCAGTACATTGAGTAGGCTGCTCTTCTTTGCAAAAATTTCCTCTTTTTTGTCCTCTCTTTTGAAAACCACTTTTATCAATCGATCTTTGTCCTTGTTGTACCGCCCAAGCCTGAAAACCTTTTCTATATTCAGTTCTTCCCCCTCCATTTGTAACCCTTCAAAGATTTCTTTGACTTTGGCTTTGCCCATATCTCTCCTCTCCCTTGGGGTGGACCCTATTTGCTCCTTAATACCTACTATGACTACTGCTCTTTTGTTCTCTGTCAGCTGGGTAGCTATGCCTACTCAGCCCCTCTCAGAACCAGGCGCTCCTTGTGTGCTCGCTCGAGTTGCAGTCAAGGACCTCACTGCATTACAGATCAGCGTTTGCTCTAGCCCAGCAAAGACACTCACAATAGCTGGTATGTGGCCCAGTAGATATTATAATATTTTATTATTAAAGAAGAAAAGGCCACAGGTGTTTGTAGTGCTTCCCTTCCCCCTATCAAGAAAGCTACAGCCGCAACCGACTACCAATAATATGCATGTCAATGGTATATGACAGTGGTAAACGACTATATTTCATGACTGTTACATGACTATGTTACATGACTATGGTGTATTCTTATGGTACATGACGATGGTACATGACTCATGACTATTGTCCATGACTGGTATATGTCCACAATACATGCCAATGATGTAAGACTATGGTACATTTCTATTATATATGGGTAGTATACATGACTATAGAGCATTGCTAATAGTGTATAAAGGTATATAACTGTGATACATGACTATTGTACAAACACGTGAAAATTGTACATGAGTATGGTATGACTGTAGCATGACTAGGTTACATAACTGTGATACATGGCTATGGTACGTTACTATAGTAAGTTACTGTGATACATAATATCTCATGTAACATTGAAAATACTTATTTTCAATGTTACATGTGTAATGTCGACGTATGTTATCGGTCTGGTGTGCTGCCCACCTATCTCTTCTAACAATCTCAAAAGTATACTTAAATTATGAGAGAGTCATACGTCAATACGTAATTAAACCTTGTACTAAGTTATTTTATATTGGAACTCTGGCCCTGAAGATTACCTTACAAATAATATACTTTAATGTTTCAGCCGGTGCGAGGACACATGAGAATGTGTGGGTCGGCGGGAGTGACGAGACAGTGGAGGGCGTCTGGATCTGGAATAATGGCCTCCTGATGCCCATGGGACCCCCTTTCTGGGGTTATACCAATAAGTAAGATACGCATATTAAAACAGCATTTTAAATAACAAAAATTAATTTTAACAGCAGGAACAGATATTGTTGCTAGCTCAGTAGTCTACATCGTCAGTTCACAATCATGGGTCCCGGGATCGGACAATATTTATCATGAAATGGAAAAAATTTAATTAGAAAAATTAAATTAAAAGATACGGAGAATCAGATATTTGAGTATTTGGAAGAAAGATTAAATTATAATTGAGAGCATCATTATTATAGAAAGAGCTAGCTAGGACAATGAGGTCAAATGACAGAGTGGTCGTTGCTAAGAAAATGGTTAGAAGTCAAAATCAACTAACACAAGAGAAGAGAGACAGACAAAGTGTGTGATGGTGGGCAGAAGAGGAAAGTGACAGTAAGTGTGTGGGGGACAGGGGAAAATAAAAAAAAATACGTGTGAAGGAGGAGAGGAAGGGAAGGGAAGTATTAGGAGAAGCGCCAAGCCAATACGACTATATAGCACTTGGAAGGGGTCAGGATAAGGATTTTAGATGGAACGGGGAAAGGAATGATGACCAACCACTTTGATGATCGGGGGGATTAAACGCCGACCTGCATGACGCGAGACCGTCGCTCTACCTTCCAACCTAAGTGGTTGTTAAGTAGGACAGGAGACAAAAGAGAGAATGTGTGTGGTGGGGGACAGGTGAGGTGAGGAGAGAGACAGAAGGTGCACCATATTGGAATCGAGAGAAGAGAGACAAAATGTGTGGGGTGGTGGTGGACAGGTGAGGAGAGGGAGAGAAAGTGTGTGGTGGGGTACAAGAGAGAAGAAATACAGACACTATTGGGGTGGACAGGATAGTAGATAGACAGAAAGTGTGTGGTGGAGAATATTAGAGAAGAGAGAAAGCATGTTGTGGTGGACAAGAGATGAGAGACAAAATGTGGGGTGTGGTGTTGAAGAAGAACGAGACAAAGTGTGTGCTGGTAGACAGGAGAGGAGCCGGACATAAAATACTTGATGGTGGACAGTAAAGGAGAGAAAAAGAGTGTCAGGATGTGGACAGGAGAGAAGTGTGACAAAAAGTGTGTTTATGGGCAGGAGAGGAGAGAGAGTGTGTGGTAGTGAGCAGGAGAGGAGAGAGAGAGTGTGTAGTGGTGGGCAGAAGAGAAGAGAAGAGAGTAAAAGTGTTCTGGTGGGTGTCACGTCTATTTGTTGCTGGTCTTTTCAGTCTCTGTCATGGGCTGGCTCTTAATATCCTGCCTTGTGTGCGACCGTACCCCTGGGCTAGTACTCTGGTCTTATGGTTAGTCATACTTGTTTGTCTAGGTATGTAAGATTCAGATTAATCTGCTGGATCAGCCAAGGGAAATCCCCAAAGATGCATAGAAACGTCTAGGTCGGATGACAAAGAAAATATATATATTTAGACATAAATAGCAAGATATAACAGGGTAAATTATTCCGGGAAAACCTCCACATATCCTTGGATCACCTATATATATATATATATATATATATATATATATATATATATATATATATATATATATATATATATATATATATATATATATATATATATATATATATATATAAATATAAATATATATATATAAATATAAATATATATATATATATATATATATATATATATATATATATATATATATATATATATATATATATATATATATATATATATATATATATATATATATACATAAGCCTATACTTGCATAAACCACAAGTGAAGATTAACAATCTTTGGACAACACCCACCAGTGGGACTCGAACCCAGAAAGCACAACTACCTTCCAGTAGCTGCCATAACTAGTACGCTTTAACCCACTACACCATCAGACAATACAAAAGAAGTAGAGACTTCGAGATATATATACATCTCAAATATCTCCACTTCCCGAGGGCACCAGATAAGTGTGAGGTTTGTCTGCGTTTTTCATCAAGCCACTGTCAATGTGAGAGAACTCGTGTCCATGCTATAAGCCTATACTTGCATAAACCACAAGTGAAGATTAACAATCTTTGGACAACACCCACCAGTGGGACTCGAACCCAGAAAGCACAACTACCTTCCAGTAGCTGCCATAACTAGTACGCTTTAACCCACTACATCATCAGACCCTACAAAAGAAGTAGAGACTTCGAGATATATATACATCTCAAATATCTCCACTTCCCGAGGGCACCAGATAAGTGTGAGGTTAGTCTGCGTTTTTCATCAAGCCACTGTCAATGTGAGAGAACTCGTGTCCATGCTATAAGCCTATACTTGCATAAACCACAAGTGAAGATTAACAATCTTTGGACAACACCCACCAGTGGGACTCGAACCCAGAAAACACAACTACCTTCCAGTAGCTGCCATAACTAGTACGCTTTAACCCACTACACCATCAGACCCTACAAAAGAAGTAGAGACTTCGAGATATATATACATCTCAAATATCTCCACTTCCCAAGGGCACCAGATAAGTGTGAGGTTAGTCTGCGTTTTTCATCAAGCCACTGTCAATGTGAGAGAACTCGTGTCCATGCTATAAGCCTATACTTGCATAAACCACAAGTGAAGATTAACAATCTTTGGACAACACCCACCAGTGGGACTCGAACCCAGAAAGCACAACTACCTTCCAGTAGCTGCCATAACTAGTACGCTTTAACCCACTATACCATCAGACCCTACAAAAGAAGTAGAGAATTCGAGATATATATACATCTCAAATATCTCCACTTCCCAAGGGCACCAGATAAGTGTGAGGTTAGTCTGCGTTTTTCATCAAGCCACTGTCAATGTGAGAGAACTCGTGTCCATGCTATAAGCCTATACTTGCATAAACCACAAGTGAAGAGTAACAATCTTTGGACAACACCCACCAGTGGGACTCGAACCCAGAAAGCACAACTACCTTCCAGTAGCTACCATAACTAGTACGCTTTAACCCACTACACCATCAGACCCTACAAAAGAAGTAGAGACTTCGAGATATATATACATCTCAAATATCTCCACTTCCCGAGGGCACCAGATAAGTGTGAGGTTAGTCTGCGTTTTTCATCAAGCCACTGTCAATGTGAGAGAACTCGTGTCTATGCTATAAGCCTATACTTGCATAAACCACAAGTGAAGATTAACAATCTTTGGACAACACCCACCAGTGGGACTCGAACCCAGAAAGCACAACTACCTTCCAGTAGCTGCCATAACTAGTACGCTTTAACCCACTACACCATCAGACCCTACAAAAGAAGTAGAGACTTCGAGATATATATACATCTCAAATATCTCCACTTCCCGAGGGCACCAGATAAGTGTGAGGTTAGTCTGCGTTTTTCATCAAGCCACTGTCAATGTGAGAGAACTCGTGTCCATGCTATAAGCCTATACTTGCATAAACCACAAGTGAAGATTAACAATCTTTAGACAACACCCACCAGTGGGACTCGAACCCAGAAAGCACAACTACCTTCCAGTAGCTGCCATAACTAGTACGCTTTAACCCACTACACCATCAGACCCTACAAAAGAAGTAGAGACTTCGAGATATATATACATCTCAAATATCTCCACTTCCCGAGGGCACCAGATAAGTGTGAGGTTAGTCTGCGTTTTTCATCAAGCCACAGTCAATGTGAGAGAACTCGTGTCCATGTTATATATCAATTCTCCAAAATTCATTTTTATTTCTAGACTAGAAATAAAAATGAATTTTGGAGAATTGATTTTTGAATTACCTCCAACAGTGAAAAGAAATGTACGAAAGATTGAGAAAATTCGTGTTAGAATTATTAATCTTACTTTTTCGGCCATATTTAATAATATATGTCTACAGGAAAGACTGCTACCAAAATATACTAATATTAAAGCGCACGACCCAGCAGCAAGGAATCAAGGCTTCACGATAAAATATCGCCAGGATCTGATTCGTGATCAGATATACAAGGCAGAGAATGAAATCAAAGACAACAAAACGCAACTACTTCATGCTACAAACGAGTGGAGAAATAGCAACATCGACGAAAGTATCCGTACCCGCATTGAACAACACCTCGACATCCTCACAGACCGACATCACCTCAGCACTGAAACAAGGATTATCAAGAAACTTACAACATTATATGGAGGACCTATGGCAATTCCACGACCAAGAGATGGCTTCCTGAACCTTGCAGGAATTAACCTCACTGAGGACCAAGTCACTCTCCTAAATCTGGGCATAAACTGTCACGTTATGTCCAGACCAAGTGAGATGGCCCGGAAAGTAGAGTTGGAAATTCTGTTGGACGACATATTCGACCTCGAGACACAAAAAAAGGTCACTACCAAAGGTACCTTACAAGCAGAACTTATTGCAGAAGGAGGAAAGAATCGAGGCAATTACAGAAGCACCATACTGTCCCCCGAGCTTAAAGCGGCAGCTAAAAGCCTTCGTGAGAACAAGGAGACAGTTGTCAGGAGAGGTGACAAGTCGCCAATATATGTCATTCTTAAAAATGACGAATATCTGGCGAAAATGAACCTCATACTCTCTGACCAAACTAAGTTCCAAAGGGTAACGAAGGACACTACAGCCGAATTGAAAGCAAAGGTCAACAAACTGATCAAAACTGTGAACGCCAAGAAATCCGGACTCCACCTGCCAAAGATCATTGGGGAATATAAACCTGGATATGCGTATGGAAATGTCAAGACACACAAGCCTGGAAACCCACTTCGGCCAATCATTAGCCAGATACCCACACCCACGTACAGACTGGCGAAGCGACTCAACGGCCTGCTGACTCCTTATGTTCCTTGCGCCTTCAGCCTGAAGTCTCCAAAGGAATTTGTTGACTTACTGCGGGGCACACGGGCCACAGGGATAAGAGCCTCGTTGGACGTAGAATCGCTGTTTACCAACGTACCTGTGGACGAGACAATCGGGATGATAGCCGACAGAGTGTATCGTGATCCAGCCTGTACTCCTCTTGACATACCCGAAAATATCCTAAGGAAACTACTCCAAGC